AAAAAAAAAAAAAAAAAAAAAAAAAAGGGTTCTTTGAGAGTTGGCGTGAAAAAGGAGGATGAATGAAGAAGAAAGTGAGAGTAAACACCGGTTATGGGTATTTGTTTGTCAGCTAAAGAAATAAGAGATTAGTAGCTTGTTAGTACTTATTAAAGTAGAGGAAATATTCCTCTGCTATTATTTACTTGTGCCACTCATTATATTTTTCGTTCATTTTTATTCCTACCGGTCACAAACTTTGCAAACTTACCCCCAACCCTAACGTCCCTCCAATGTGGAGGCCAACCCTTCTAATATTTTATCCATGTTAGCCGCCAAGTCAGCAGGTCCCACCAAATAAAATGTTATGTCAACATTAGAAGTAATTTAATCCTCAAATAAAATTGAAGGTTTTTTTTTTCCTTTTTTTTGCATTATCTTTACCCAGCGATTTCATATGCTCATTTTAAACTAATTGCGCATATTGAAATGAACATGTGTTCATGTATTCTCTTAGAGAAAATCGAATGAATAGAAATTTTGAGCTAATTTTTTTCAATGTTTAAATTTTTCATACTATCACCGATTTTCTCTCTATTTCTGATGAAAAACTCTTAAAATTCATCTCTGTACTATAAAAATTGTTTCCTTACTGTTTCAGATCTTACAAGTTACATTTTGGGCAGTTTATTGGCTGTATCTTTTTATGGATTGGCTCAATTTTTTCGAATACATAGTCTGGTTTTGGTAGTTATTCTTTCTTCGTCTTCTATCCCCTTTTGTCGCGCAGTAAAATGTTTAAGAAAATTATATTTTTTTTATTATTTACGCTGGATGAAGGAGTGGAAAAGTAGTGGTATTTTTTCCATTTTAAATCAAGATCTATAGATCTCGCCTATTTTCATGCTGGATGAAAATGAAGAAGAAAAGGGAATAGAGTGAGAAAGAGTAGAGGTAGTCAGTTGTGGTGGCCTTGTGACTTTTTCGGCGAGTTTTGCTGGTTCCATTTGCTGGTTTGGGTGAACGGGTTTGTTGTTTGAATGACGAAACATGAAGAAGGAGAAAGGAGACAAAGAGGAGAGCCAGTACCGTTGAGGTTAGTTTTGCCCGTTGAAATTTTTTCCGGTGAAATACCATAGTTTTCGGCGATTTTGGTATGAGTTGAGGGAGAGAAGATAAGTGAAAGGATGGAGAGGTGAGGAGTGGGGGTCGTTTATGTTAGGGTTTTAATTTGGTGGGGATAACAGCTGACATGGAAGCTGGTATGGATAAAATTGATGGGGTCAGCTGCCATAATGGAGGGACGTTAGATTTAGGGGTAATTTTGCAAACTTTGTTAACTTTAGGGACAAGAATAGACGAAAAGTATAATGGGTGGCATAACTAAACAATGAGCAATAGTAGAGGGATATACTAATGAACAATGAACAATGAACAATGGTACTAATTACGTATTAAAGCTTCAGCTAAAGAAATAAGAGATTAGTAGCTTGTTAATACTAATTAAAATATGGTACTAATTACGCATTAAAGCTTCAGCTAAGTCGGGGAAAATTTTATTTAGGGCCCATGTGTTATATTCTAGTTTTCAACAAAGCATTTAGGCTGAATATATATGTAGCCCCTTAAATTTGTCAAGTTTTTTTATTTAGACACTTTTAAACTAAATGGTGTACCTATTGAATACTTCAACTCAAATAATATTATGCAATTGAATACATATTGCTAATATCACACAGCATGTGTAATACACTCTCCTTTCAGAAAGTGAAAAGCTGTGAACACGTGATTTTTGCCCTATACATGAGTTATTCCCAAAATTCAAACAAAATAATTTCTTTGTTATTTTACAATTTTTATGAATTTTGTGGCATTTTTTGTTGATTGTGTGCATTTTTATTGGTGCATTTTTAATTCATATGAAAAATATAAAAAAATATATACTGGACATTTGCATTTAGGATTTAATTTTATATTTTAGGATTAATTAGTGGCTAAGTTATTTTTAGAACGTAATATGGAGAAAATAACAAAAATAGTCCGCTTTTGAATTTTTAATTGTTAATTGTTGAATTTGTTGCGAAATAAGTTTTAAACAATTTTAGGGATTAATTATCTTAACGTTGAAAATATATTAGGTCTTTATTCTTATTGTTTTTGCATTTTTATAGAGTCAGAAAAATAATAAAGAAAATAATACAAAATGAATTGGAATAATAAAAGGAAAACAATTAAAAAATTGGTCTTAATTGAAGACCAAATTTGGGCCAAACACGCAGCCCAACAGGACCAAGCCCACACCCCGTTTCAACCCGGCCTGCCCCCCCTTTAGCGAAACGACGCCGTTTAGCATCGATCAATCCGGGCCGTCGAGGTTTATTAATCCAACGGACGAGAAGCTTGGATTGTTTAGTATATTAGTGTCCAAACGTTACCCCCCC